AGCGAAACGCACTTCAAACGAAAAACTCAAGCACACTTACAACAGCACATCTAAATAACGTAAATTATAATATATATCACAAGTCTGTAACACGCACGTTCAATGTCAATTAAATTAAATCAAACTTTGTAACTTAAATTAAATTAAATTAAGCTGAATTAAATTGGAAATGAATATGTATTGTAATGACTAGCGTAATAACTTAAAAGTAATCTGTTACTTGTAACGCTAGGATATGTTAATAATAATAAATAAATAAAAAAAACTAAACTTGGTATGTAGATTCTCCTAAGCCCAAGAAAGGGCAAGTTTGTTCATTTTTCCCAAAACACCCCCACTCCTCCTCTATTCATGATTTTCTCTAACTCATCAATTTTTGGAATCTTTAACTGAAATTTGATAGTCTAATGGTGATTATGTGTCCGTTCGTTAAGTTTCGTTATAATAGATCAATTAGAAAGAAAGCTATAGCCATAAGTATTGTTGTTGTTGATGATGTTTGTTGACATAATTCTGTATTTCACACATATGTTTTCACTTATGTATGTCTGTATTGAATAATTGTAACTTAATTAATTAATTCATTAATTTAAAATTCACAATTTTTTCTAGTTATGCCCTGTATTTTAGAGTTGAGCCCGCTCGACTCTAGCATTTCTTTCTTGTTTTGCATCTCAACTACTTTCCAAACCGGGTACCGCTATAGTTATGCACCATAGTGTAGCTTTGTACTCCTACTAGTTAATAATATTAAAGCTACCATGCCTATCGTATTCTTAGCAGGAGAAGTTACAAGACTTATTAAGGACCAAGTCTCAGATCTAAAACGATCATGGAATTGCCGAGCTGTGCAGTAAATTTTCTCACCATAATATTTAACTCATCATAGAGACCTATCAGTCTTCTGCTATGCCTATCAAAGATATTTAAAATGCTGCTCCTAAATCGTATCAAGCAGCACGTACACATCAACAGTGCTATCCCAATACACCAATTTGGTTTCCGCGGACAAACAGACAGACGGATAGAAAGGACTAGATGGACCCGTCTTATCATGCTGATCAAGAATATATATACTTTGTGGGGTCTGCTTCGCCTTTTACATTTTTCACCTCGCGCGAACCTTCGCGGTACTCTTGTACCTTTTATGTAAGGAGAATAATTATATGAATATTTGGGTCTGCACTTGGTATTGATGTAGACATTAATTCAGTATTGCGGTATATAGTTGACGGCTGAACATGAAAAACGAATACAAATATAATATGTACAGTAGCAAGTCGTTTAGCGAACTCCAAGAAAAGTATTCTATATACGAACAGCTTGAAGAACGCGAAGCAGTAAGCAAATCGTCAATCATAGTTGGAAAAAGGCATGAGAGTGGTTCTAAAAAATCGCATTGTTTCAACTGTGGGTCCACTACACACTTGAGAAAAGATTTCCGAAAAGAAAAGATTTCTGAAACCAAATGCTTTAAGTGCGGTACAAGTGGTCACATGTCGAAAAATTGTTCTCAAGCCGAAAAAAACGTAAAAGTGATCCAAGACAATAATCGCTTTAAGCCAGTTTATATTAACAATGTCGAAGTAGACTGTTTGGTTGACACAGGCGCTGATGTGTGCATTATCAAAGACTGCGTGTTTCGTAAGTTTAAAAATGTTAAGCTAATCAAGTCTACCTCTGTGCTTCGAGGCCTTGGAAACTTAAAAACAACACCAGTTGGAGAATTTGTAGCAGTACGAGTTGATGACGTCTACGTTCAGCAAAAGTTCGTGGTGGTGCCTGACGACAAAGTGGAATACAACGGCTTGTTGGGCTATGATTTCGTTTCAAAGTTCTGCGCTGTTTTGGATGGGGCAGGCTTCCATTTTACATCGAAATCGCCGCGGGAGGACTACGACGCATCTAATGAGCCAAGTATATACATATATTCGAAACCGAAACTGAAATACATACACCTCCACAGTTCCAATCGCTTATCCAACCATTGGTTGAGGCCTACCAACCAATAGCGCTGCCTATAGAAAGTCCTGTGGAGCTGAAAATTGTTGCAAATGAGAAGTTAACTCCATTTAAGCACCAACCTTCCCGATACTCTCCAGTTGAATGCGACGCCATTAAAAAACAAGTTGACGAATGGCTGAACACCGGAATTGTGCGAAAATCAACTTCTAAGAAAAAGAAAAGGATGGTTCTAACAGGATCTGTGTCGATTTTCGTCAGTTGAACGCAATGGTGCTGAAAGACTGTTTTCCTGTCCCACTTATCGACGATGTGCTGGAGAAGTTGCAGACAGCCAAAGTTTCCGTGGTCATGGATTTGGAAAATAGTTTTTTCCACGTGCCTGTTGAAGAAGAGAGTCGCAAATACACAGCTTTTGTCACCAAAGACGGGCTTTACGAATTTAATAAGGCTCCGTTCGGATTCACCAATTCTCCTGCAGCATTTATAAGGTTCATAAACTGCGTCTTTCAAGATTTATATTATTTTCATAATTTACAGCAAGACAATAGATGAATGCGTCCGAAAGCTGAAGCGGGTCCTGGCAGTGGCTGAACAGTTCTCCTTGCTCATCAAGTGGAAAAAATGCCGCTTCCTCAAGAGCAAAATCAATTTTCTTGGCCATACAGTGGAGAACGGAAAAATTTGGCCTGGCAAGGAAAAAACATATGCCTTCAAACGTTTTGCTGTTCCAACAAATGTAAAGGCTGTACAGTCTTTCTTGTGACTGACAGGCTTTTTTCGCAAATTTATTAAAGGATATGCACATATAGCGCGCCCATTAACAAACCTATTAAAAAAAGACGTCGACTTTAAAATTGGTACCGCTGAGCTAAAAGCAATTAATGAACTAAAGGACATTTTGTGTCGAGAGCCGGTACTTCGAGTTTTTATGCAGAATGCACCAACCGAATGCACCAACAACACAACACTTAGTGATTCCAAGCGCCATAGTTATATACTCGAGGTGAAGGCTGCTTATTTGGCGATCGAGAAATTCAGACACTATCTGCTGGGCAATACCTTTACGTTGGTCACCGATTGCGCTGCATTTGAACATCGCAGTGCAGACCGTATGAAGCATGTTGATTGCTTAAGTCGTCTCTCGAACGTATTCGTTGTTGGCTCTGAAGTTGCAGCACGTCTTAAGCACGAGCAGCGAAAAGATAGCTTCGTAAATGCAATATTGACAATTTTAAAAGACCGTCTGTATCAAGGCTTTAAGATGAAAGGCGATATTCTTTATAAACATATAAATGGCCTTGATCTTCTCGTAGTTCCCAAATCAATGGAACGTGAAATAATAACGGAAGCACATGCAGATGGTCACTTCGCAGTCCTGAAGACGATGCACAGTATACAGCAACAGTTCTATATGCCACATTTGGAACGTAAGGTGACACAAATCATTTCGGCGTGCGTAAAATTAACAACAGAAAACTTGGCAAGCAGGAGGGATATCTTTATTGTATAGACAAAGGCAATTGTCCGTTACAAACTCTACACGTCGATCATTTAGGCCCGATGGACTCCACGGCGAAACAGTATAAGCTTATATTTGCCATAATTGATGGGTTCTCGAAGTTTGTTTGGCTCTATACGACTAAATCCACTGGTACTGATGAGGTAAAGAAGCTGGAGGAATGGTCAAGCGTTTTTGGGCTGCCTTTGCGGATAGTGAGCGATAGAGGGGCCGCCTTTACCTCAAACGTTTTTGAACAATACGTAAAGGAAAACGGAATTCAGCATGTTGGGACAACCACTGGAGTAGCCAGGGGCAACGGGCAAGTCGAGAGAGTAAACAGAGTCATTTTGTCCATAATTAGCAAGCTTTCTGCAGATGATACTTCGAAATGGTATAAGTTCGTCCCACAAGTTCAAAAGGCAATCCACTCCCATGTTCATGTGTCCACACAAAAATCGCCGTTTGAAATAATGTTTGGAACCAAAGTGCACAGCAAGATCTCCGATAGGCTTGCAGCTGTGTTGGAACACGAAATTATAGATGAGTTCGATAGGGAGAGGCAAGAAACTCGTCAAGAAGCTCGGTTGCAAATACAAAAAGCCCAAGATATTTACAAAGCCAACTTTGATAAAAAACGTAAAGGCGAACGCGTTTATAACGAAGGAGACCTAGTTGCTGTGAAACGAACGCAGTTCATAGCAGGCAAAAAGCTGGCGAGCTCGTTTCTAGGACCATACGAAGTGGTTAAAGTCAAACGGAACGGACGGTATGAGGTAAAAGAAGCTGCCCAAGTCGAAGGCCCGAATATAACGTCAACTAGCGCAGATAATATGAAACTTTGGAAATACGTCGAATGGAATGAAGATATGCTGTCGTCTGGGACAGACGACGATGAGCAGGATGACCGAATGTAAGCAGGCGATATACAGCGGAGTTAGTAGTCCTACCACTCCCAGTTTGTGAGTCAGCGGCAGTAGTACTATAGCTCAGCAGTCATCAGCAGCAGTCGTAGTTTAGCAGTCATACAGAGCAGTCGTAGTGCAGTCAAAGTTCAGCAGTCAGCCGTCGAAGTTGTTGTAGATCCGCAGTCAGCCGTTGCCGTCGAAGTGTCGAGAAAAAAAAAAAATAAATATATATATATATATATATATATATATATATATATATATATATATATATATATACATATATGTATATATATATATATATATATATATATATATATATATATATATATATATATATATATATATATATATATATATATATATATATATATATATATATATATATATATATATATAGGGTGCGCCATCTTTTATGTCGGTGTGTAGATATTGAATGATATTGAATGGCTTTGTCATTAGTGAACCGATTGACTTGAGTAGACCAGTGTTGAAAACCTGAGTTCAAGAAATTGTACCAGAACCAAATTAAATAAAAATATCTCATACTCGAAAATCGGTTGTTTATTTTCAAAGATATTCAGTGTTTACAGTGTTTTTTTTTTTTGTGCTGCTATTTGTATTTTTAGGCATCTTAATTCAGAGCACGGCCTGGATGATCGTTCCACAGCCCAAGCTAGGGTTCAGATGCAAGTTGTTTCACAACTGGAATCACACCTGCAAAAAGAAAGAGATCGATTACAGGCTATGATGCATCATCTATACTTATCTAAGCAACTTTTAACTCCAACAAAACCAGATCATAAGGTAAATTAATTTTTACTACACTAAAACACGATGGGCAAACCTTGAATATTGCTAAAAGAATTAATAAAAATGTAATTTAATAAGAATTCAGCAACCCACCTTCAACATAAATCAACCTAAATAATTAAAAAACAAGTAAAAAAGCTAAAGTCGGGTGTCCCGACTTTGAAATACTCTGTACATATGTTTACAATAATTATAGAAAATAAAAAAAATTAGAGAATTACAAAAAAAAAATTTTGATCGATTTTACCTCTTTTGGTATTCGAACTCACGTAAAGGGTGTATAATTGTACATATACAAAGCAATTGCGTCTATGTGAGTGTATGTATGTATATGCTCGTATATTCGTGTCTGTGTAATGTTAGCAGTCAACAACAGCCACGGGCAGCGCTTGAGCAACGCTGCAGCAGCAAATATATTAATGGCTATAACTTCTTGTTAAATCGGTCTATCATAATGAAACTTGCCATACGGACACATAATAACTAACTGAAGGCATTTGCGTTCGAAATACTAAGAATTACGGGAGTTAGAGAAAATCGCGATTTGCTTGAGAGAGGGGGGTGGGGGGGAAATTCCAAAATACAAATTTTCTGCGTATTCACATAAGGCATCTGGGACTATGGTGGTGTCTGTAGGTCTTATAGTCTCCGAGATAAAGGCGATTATACGAATAGAAAATCGGGAAAACCCCCATAGGGGGGAAGTGGGAGGGGGGAAATCAAAAAAAATGAAGCAAACTTGCACAGCGTACACACATAACGCATCTTTGTGCAAAGTTTGGTGTCTCTACCTCTTATAGTCTCTGAGATCCAGGTGTTCATACGGACAGACGGACAGACAGACAGACAGACAGGGCTAGATCGACTCGTCTCGTCATGCTGATCAAGAATATATATACTTTGTGGGGTCTGCCACGCCTCCTCCTACCTGTTACATTTTTCAGCTCCCGCAAACCTAATATACTTCTGTACATTTCATGTACAGAGTATAACAAGTAAAAAAGCTAAAGTCGGGTGTCCTGACTTGAAATACTCTGTATATATGTTTAGAAAAATTAAAAAAATTAAGAAAATGTAAAAAAAATGTTGATTGATTTTACCTCTCTCTGTATTCAAACTCACGTAAAGGGTGTATAATTGCACATTTACATAGCAATTGCATCTATGTGAGTGTATGAATGTCTATGCGTGCCTGTGTGAGCATGTTTGCAGTCAACCAAAGCAAGGCCCAAGCTGTGTCCGCAGCTGTATTTGTTGCTGCTTTGACATAATTATGTAATACACACATACATATGTACAAGTACACAAACACGCACAGACACAGTTCTGATGTAAATGTAAATGTATGTATGGAATATTTTATATTTAATTCAATTAATGAATTAAATTCATTAAATTTTTTTAATAAAATGTTTTTCTTGTGGGGTGGTACAGGGTATTTAAGAGTAGAGCCTGCTCAACTTTAGCATTCCTTTCTTGTTTTACTGCATACAAGCACGCATAGACACGATGCTGTTGAAGTTGTACATAAACACTTATGTCTGTATGCATGTGTGAAATATTTTATATTTAATGAAATTAATGAACTTAATTTTTTTTTATTTATTTATTTTTTTTTTGTGGGACGGTACAGGGTATTTAAGAGTTTAGCCGGTGAATGAAGTGAAACAACATGGGCAAACGCAAACGAACATTGACCAAATAGGAGCTGCAGGCTCAGATCGCGTTTGATCGCGACCCCACCAACCTCAGGATACGGCATCGAGAGCCGGTGGTCCGTGCGGGGCGCATACACGTCCCAGGCACAGAGTCGTCGGATTTTTTCGGCCCGTCACAGCGCGAGCACGTAATTGGCTGTAGAAATACACGAATCCATATTCACGCTGAATGGATACACAAATTTTTATTTGTAAATCGAATAATTAGGAGAATGTCGATATTTAATTTAAGATTGTGTCCATGGTACTCCAATTTTAAGGACCGATATATGTACATAATATTACTTTTTCGCAAAATATTAATTTATTTTATGCAAAAGTGGCTACCATTAATATTCTTATTTTTTGGATATACGCTCCAAATCCCATGCTTTTTTCAACAATAAAATACATATATGTACTTGTATTTATATAACACAACATTTTAACGTGAAGCGATGCCACTGAGTTTACCTGACTAACTCTTCACAACGCATCTGCCACGATATTGCTTTTGCCCGAATGGAAGAGCAATTCATAGTCGTACTCCTCCAAGTATGCTGTCCACCTCCTAATTCTTGCATTACCATTTAAACTTCTAAGAGACTGCGTTAAGGGCTGTTGGTCAGTGAAATTTTTAAGCTTTGCTTTACCGTAGATTTGGAGGCATTTCTCTTTCATTGGTTGCATAATTTTCTTCGGTTTTCGAGAGCGTTCTTGAAAGAATTTTTTTTTTCAATTTCTGCTTCTAGCTCTTTTAAACTATCTTTTCCTAAAATAGCATCAAACGATGTAAGTGTGGGCAATATGAAAAATTTAACATTTTTTTCTGGGTGACCAAACAAATTGGCAACTTTGTGGTGTGTAATAAGTACACTTCCACCTATAGTGACTGCTCTGAATGTCTCTTTGTTTGCGATTGGATTGGAGACAAAATTGGGTTGGATTTAATTCCTGATTGAGCCTGCAACTACTAGAACTTTAAATGTTTGGCCGCTCCTCATTTTACACTCGAAATATGGTAATGAGGAGTCTGTTATTCTAAACAAGAGAGAACGCTACAGTCGAACAAGCCCGACAGTAAAATAGGAAAAAAAAGGAAAATTTAAAAAGAAAAAATTTTTTTTTAAAATTACATTATTTAAAAAAAAATGAATTAATTAATGTATTAATTAAATTAAATTAGAAGACATGTTTCTGTTCAGTTTTAGTAGCATACATTTAATCCACGCGTGTATGTATGCAGCATAAAGTTGAACCAAAGCAGCAACAACAACAACAGCTGCGGGCAGCGCTGCCGGCAGAGCTCATCATCCTGATCAATAATATATATACTCTGTGGGGTCTGCCACGCCTCCTTCTGTGTGTTACATACATTCGCACAAAACTAGTATAGCATTTCACCCTTTGGGTACAGGCTAAACATGTCTTCTATGTATGTATTAAATAAATTTTCTTAATTAATTTAATAAATTAAATTAATTTGTTTTAAATAACTTAATATTTTTTTAATTTTAATTATTTTTTTTGTGGAGAGTAGAGGCTATTTTACTGTCGGGCTTTCTCGACTGTAGTGTTCTATCTTGTTTTATATTTAAGTTGTTATTTATGGATTGTTTGAAATTGAATTGTTAGTCTCTTAAGTTAATATATTTGAAATTGAATTGTTAATCCTTTAAGTTAATATATTTGAATTGAATTGTAAAGCGTAAGTCGTCTAATTGGAATCAATGTACTCATATCTTGCGCCACTGTACGTACAAATGAGTGGTTTAATGTAAACGGTATTGCGTGGGTGCGCGCCAGTATATACTTAGACCGCTCATTTCGTGGCCGTTGCCCTCTTTCGTTTTATCTTCACACTTAAACGCTGAGTGCAGTGATTCTCTTCGTCAGTTGTTTTTTCTGCAACAATTCGGCTTGCGCAAGAGTAAGGTCATTGCTTCCCTTGCTTGCATTGCTTAAATTGGCCATCGCTTATCGCATACGATAATTAGGCAAGTCGACTCTCTTCGTAACCTCTCTTCATTAACAAAATAATAAACTCAGCTGACACCTGAAACTTTTTCGAGCTGCATTTGCTTTTATATATACACAGTAGCATGTGCCATTCGAAAACGCGCAACATAATTAATTAACTTACAATAATTAACTCGCAAATATGTCGACCAACAAAGTAGACGACACTTTGTCAAATCCTGGCTGCCTTAGTGACCAACTTACCAAGTTGTTCTCGAAATTAGAGAAGGTAGAAGAGGATATTCTTCGCTTAAAAGAAGCTTTCGTGAAAAAGACAACTACACTAAATCCGATCGAAATACAGTGCCGATTGGAAATACTAAACTCGTATATATCAGGGGCCATGGATCTTCAGTCAGATATTGACTCCATTGACCCAGATAATACCAATCGAGCTTCATTGGAGGAAATTTGTAATAGTGCCAAAGCGCTATACTTATCTGCACCTAATGCACTTATCTGCACTTAATGCACCGCCGGCAGTTGACACATTGCCTCCTGCTGCGCAACATTCTCATTTACCAAAAATGAAGCTACCAAGATTTAGTGGCAAACATGCAGACTATAAACATTTTATAAACCTTTTTAAAAGGTTGGTAGATTCTGACCGCTCACTATCAAAGATTGAGAAGTTTAACCATCTTCTCTCTTGCCTGTCCGATGAAGCCTTAAGCTTTCCAAAACCGGTGAGAACTATTCAAAGGCCTTAGAAAGTCTAGAGCGCATATATGACAACAAATGCTTAACATTTTTTGACACATTAGCACAGTTGTTTGACGTTCCGTCTGTAAGCAAGCCCTCAGCTTCGGCTTTGAGGTCAATCATAGACACCGTATCAGCCATTTTCGAATCACTCCTGTCCTTGGGGAATGAAAAACAAATTGTCAATGCACTGTTGATACACATCGTCCTGTCGAAAGTAGACAGTTACACAAAGGCTAGATACGAAGACCAGCTCGACTATGATAGTTAACCACTGTGGTCGGAGTGTGTCACTGTACTTAACAGGCGATACCAACACTTGTCTGCTGAAGAATCCTCAAAGTCGAATGGCAAGCCAAGGTTTGAGTTTCCGTCGGAAAAGGCCACTAAATCATCGTTTTCATGCTCCAAAGTCGAACAAAAATGTTCTTTTTGTGAAGCCGATCACCACATCTCTAAATGTCGAGGTTTCATTGCGACTCCTGTTTTAGAGAGGTTTGCTTTTGTAAAAAGCAACCAATTATGCATTAACTGATTGATGCCAGGGCATAGTGTGTCTGCATGTACGTCTTCAAA